AACAGTGCTTGGCCCATGGGAGCATTCAGTAAGTTTTAACTCATATCATTATTATTAGTTACCTGTATAATAAATTTCTAGTTGTAGATTTACTGGCTCCAAGGGGACGTGCATTTTTTTCATTTTATATTACCAAAAACATTCTACCAACTGGCACTACCAGCAAGAGTATATGAGATTGTGTGTCTGCCTACATCATACCCAGCACTATTGGTTATTCTGGCCATTCTCCTAGGTAGAAAATGATACATTATTTTATCTCTGTTATAACAAGTGACATTAAGTATCTTACGCTTATAAGCATCATTTTAATGCTGGCAAATATCCAAATAACATTGCATAGCAAACACTCACAAATCAATCTCACTCCTTCATTGTTTGGCCCCCAAAGCAGCCTGCCTGTCTGCCAATGGCACAGAATAACTTGTGCCTGGTTCCCAAGTCAGATCCTTTCTCAAAAGGCGAAACTGATTCCCAAGATTCCCCAAGAACATGACACCTTGTATAATCAAAGTTTAAGACTATGCATATCCCTTGACCCAGCAATTTCATTTTCAGGAATCTGTGCTGAGGAAATAAATGGAAAGGCCATGATATTTGCATAGGATGTTCATGGTAGTGTTGCTTATAACAGCAATCAATGTATCAATAAACAAGTAGGAAAAAAACTATCTAAACATATATCAGAAAGGCATTAGGTCAAACCATGACAATACATCTAAACCAGATTGGGCTATGCAGCTGTAAAATACAATGAGGTAAGAGAGTACATGCTGTATTTTCACATAAAATTCAGAAATAGGTAATAGTGAGCTATGGTATTGTAAGTCAGAATAGGGAATACCACTGTGGGGAGGTAGAGGCTGGGAGTAGGCTCTGTAAAGGTATAAGTAATGCTTTGTTTCATGATCTGCATACTCTTTCCACTACTGTGTTCACTTGGTGACAATTCATTGAGTTCTATAGGCACAATGTGTAGGTACCCTGTTCAATGAAGCACACCATATATACATTTCAATTAAGCTTTTCTAAAAAATAGAGATAAAATGTTGAAATGGGGTGCTAGGTACATGAGGATTCATTGTGTTATTCTCTTGTAGTTTTGTATATTTTGAAAGTGTCCATAACAAAACAATAAGCTAAAAACAGAAGAAAAAAAAAAAGCAGATCTAGATGTAATGAAATGGAGTGACCTCCAAGATCCATTAATAGAAAGATGCAAAAAATAAATGAGTAATAGTAACTGATATGGAAAGTTACAATTAGTGAGAAAAGGCAGCTACAGAATGGTATGTTCTTGTTTACAATAAAGCAAAACACACACATACCAAATGCACAGAAGTGTAGAAAGAAACACACCAAAGGTTAACAATAGTTCCCTCAGTGAAATCAAGAGTGGTTTTTGCTTTCTTCTATTTTTCTGTATTGTCTAATTAAAAAATATATTAAATACATAATTTTGTAATTGGAAAAAGCTAAGAAAACTTTTTCCAAGGTGGAAAAAGAAAAAACCAAGATGCTGGCTTTGGAGTGACATCCTTAAGGGGAGTGTTCCACAGTGCGGAGCCGCCACACATTTACTTAGACATGAACTCACACAAAGGCGGTATATGGAGATATCAGGTGCCAAAAGTCTATTTTCTATGCCTTGAGAGTTCTTAACCAGCTGCACTTAATGCACCCCACCCCCTAGATTGCTGCTTTCTTGTTCAAATTCCATTCATTATTATTATTCTGGGCTGAGCAACCAGAATAATAGCTAAAAATAATAGCACTTATATAGCAGTTATTATGTGAAAGAATAGGATCTAAGTACTTTACATATACTATACTCAGTTAATCCTCATGGGTAGGTATTATTGGCCCATTTTACCAGTGATGAAAATGAGGGCACCCCCCAACAAAAAAAGAAAATGAGGCTCAGAAGAGGCCCAAAGTCTTATGGATAGCAGGAAGCAGAGCTTGGGTTCAAACCCAGGCAGTCTGGCTCCCAGTATCTACATCTTCAACCACTGTGCTATACCTCACAAGGATATAATGGCCAAATCCAAGAGTCCTTAGGTGACAAGCAACTGCATGCTGAGCATCACCAGACCTACCTAGCACATTAACCCAACTCTGAGGGAGGGAGTAGGGGAGTTGGCACTGTGATCACAGCAGTGTTGATGGGGTGATCACACTGCACAGGGCACTCTGCTTACCTTTAGTGCCTACTTCATCTAATCCTCACCTCATAGGAGGTATTATCATCTCTCATGGCTGAGACATCTATCTGCATTTCAGAGAGGTGATTAAGACTTGTACAAGGTCACACAGCGTATTAGTCACAGAGCTGGGATTTGTATCCAGGCAGTTTGCCTCCAACAGAGCTGACACCGTTAACCTCCCTGGCCTCTCGTTGGGGAGGCAGACCACAGGGTGCTGGTGCAGGAGGCAGGGACTGATCCCCACCTCGTCCACGGGACTTGGCTCCCGGTTTCACGATCCAGACGTTGCGATCTCCTTCCATGTCTATCTGGGGCACCACAGCCCGCAGCTGCTGCAGGATGTCCTCACAACGCTGAACCTGAGTGTCGAGGTGCCTGAGTTCTGCCCCCTCACTGTAGGGAGATGATGGGATTTGGTCAGGGCTGGTCCTGGGAACAGCCTGGTGGACAAGACAAGGGGAGACACAAACACCCAGCCATGGTCCAATAGGCCCTGGCTGTACCCTCCCTCTAGAGATCTAAAAAGTCTCTTCCAAACCTCCATCCCTACCCTCAAGTTGCCCCCTCAAATTCTTCTCTGTCCACGGCACCATCCTAGACTGCTGGAATGGGAAAGGATGGGAAAATCCCATTTCTTACACCCCTCACCCACTCCAACACTCCATCTTCTGCTACCTCCCTTTCTATTACATTAAAACTGCCTTTGGCAGAATTTAAGCATAGCACAATCTAATGATGAGGCACCACTATGTGCCAGGCACTGTGCCAAGGGTTACACATACATTATCTCTAATCCTCTCTATGGCCCTTCCAGGGAGATATTACTGGTCCCATTTATATAAACATAAACTGAAGCTTGGGGAATTAAGGCACTTGTCCAAGGTCACATATTAAGTTAAGTGGAAGAGCCAAGAGGCAACCCCTGTCCGGCCTGATTCCTCCACCCACAGGTACTTTTCTGGGGTTCATTCCCCTCTGAATCTGGACCTAACTCTGGTTGACAGGTGGGTTCCTTCTTAGTCTAATTCTTCCCAAACACATCTGTATTGTACAGCTCCTTGATTTATTTCTCTGCCCATCACTGACGACATGACACCTGTGCTTATTGGGTTACTGTCTATCTCCTTCACTGGAAGGTACGCTCCATCAGAGCAGAACATTTTGCACAGTTGTTATTCTCTGTTATACTCCCATCCCCAGGCAGTACACCTGGCACTGATTAGGTGCCCCCTAAAATTCTGTTCAATGAATGAATGGTTAGATAAGCAAGTACTCTGACAGGAGTTTGCCTCAGTAACTGGGCTATGCAGATAGGGGTTCACAAAGGGATCCTGTTCCCCACAGGACACAGTGTCCTAAACTAAACCAAGTTACAAAATACCCTAGGATGGTTGTCTCATTCAGACTCTCTTTTCTTCTGACTCAAAAGGAAGGAAGCTTCCACTAGATGCTAAGCTCCCTTCAACATCTTAGCCTCTTGGCATGTCTCCAGCCATGGAGAGCTTATCTTTCTTTTAATAAGGAGGCAGAAGCAGCCACCAGGGCCGTGCCAGGAATGGGGACAGCCAGATGGAGGGGGCTTGGCAAGGCCTCTTAGGAACATTTATACCCAAATCCTGACCCTTCTTTTCCAGAAGGTTTGCTGGCACCTTCCATGAGCCACAGCATAGAGAATCTGCTCAGAAAATCTGTGACTTAGCCCAGGAAAGTGTCACGTAGGAGAGGCAGGGGCATGTGCAATTTGAAAAAGTATATTAAACACAACAATATGATTTTATATTTAAGAAAAAGTTAAAAACAACCAGTGTTGGGCCTTTAGGAAGTTTTCAAGGAGAAATGATAAGAGGCAAGTAGAATCAGGGTAAATTTACCAGTAACAACCAGAGAAGTGAATGCCTTCTCTTCACTGCTTAGATGAAATCTTTCTTAACTGCTCAAAACCCCTTGGAACCATCCCCACAAGCATTGCCTATTGTGGCAAGTGGCACTTGGCAACGGGGCACCAGTAAAATTTGTAAAGAGTGAAGCGAGAAGGCCACTTCTTTGAAAGTTAAGTGCACTTACCCACAGAGTTGAGATTCCAAAATTTGGAATGAATAAATGAATGAATAAACAAGTCTTACATAAAAAACAATGACTGTTAAAAAGACTCCTGAGAGGAGGCTCAAGATGGCGGTGTGAGTAGGGCGGTGGAAATCTCCCCCCAAAACCATATATATTTTGAAAATACAACAAATACAACAAGAGAGACCAGAAGATACAATACAACAGCCAGGCTACATCTACATCTGTGAGAACTCAGCATCTCACAAAAAGGGTAAGATACAAAGCCGTGACCTGGCAGGACCCGAGCACTCCCCCATGCCAGCTCACTGGCAGAAGGAAAAGAATCCGAGTAAGGAGGTAGTGGAAGCACAGGACTGCTAAATAACCAGCCCTAGTAATCTGCACCAGGAGCACAGACACACATTGCATGGTATACTGGATATTAGAGAAATGGAAAAGTAAAATCCTAGATGGAGACTGTGAGTGGGTCCCCACAGCCTGCTCACCTGGGACAAAAGAAAAACAGGCACTTCAAAAGTCTAAAAGAATCCGAGTAAGGAGGTAGTGGAAGCACAGGACTGCTAAATAACCAGCCCTAGTAATCTGCACCAGGAGCACAGACACACATTGCATGGTATACTGGATATTAGAGAAATGGAAAAGTAAAATCCTAGATGGAGACTGTGAGTGGGTCCCCACAGCCTGCTCACCTGGGACAAAAGAAAAACAGGCACTTCAAAAGTCTTAAAGGGACAAGGGCTTAACAGGTGAACAAAATCATCCCAGCACACTCAGCCCAGCAGGCTGAGAATCCTAAGGAACTTCAGGTGCTCTAATCCCCGGGTGGCAATGCAGCTCCAAAGCCCCTCACAGTGATAAGAAGCCTCCCGTTCACTCCCCACTACCCGTCGCCAGCACTGCAAGCAAACTGGCTGACCTGCCATTGCTGCGGACCAGCCAGGGAGCAGCCCCGCCTACAGCAACCACACAGAGTCTTCTCCCAGCATGCAGCTAACTGGGTCAACCCAGAGGCTGCTGCCAGCACGCAGCTGCCTGGCACAGACAGAGGAAGCCAGGGCAAAGTCCAGAAGGCACAAAGGGGTGCCATTCTCACAGGAGAACACACACCACATGCCTGCGACCCCTGGCAGAGCCCTAGGCCATCCCGAGGACCGCCCCAGGGAATTAATCCTGAGACTGCTTCCATTGTGCAGGTAACTGGCACAGGCAGTGGAGAAGGGCAAGGCGACCAGCAAGCAGGAAGGGACTTTGTTCTCCCAGCTGATACATGTACCACTTGCCAGTGATCACCTCTATCGCCATGAAAAGGCAGAATAACCTGGTCCATTCCAAATAAAACAACCCCAGAGAGAGGGCCTAGTGAGATAGATAAAACCAATCTTCCTGAAAAATAATTCAAAATAAAGGTCATAACCATGCTCATGGAGATGCAGAAAAATATGCAAGAGCTAAGAGATGAAGTCAGGAGCGAGATAACAGAAATGAAACAATCAATAGAAGGACATAAGAGCAGACTGGGGGAGGTACAGGAGACTGTTAATGGAATATAAATCAGAGAACAGGAATACAGAGAAGCTGAGGCAGAGAGAGATAAAAGGAGCTCTAGAAATTAAAAAGAATATTAAGAGAACTGTGTGACCAATACAACCCGAACAATATTCACATTATAAGGGTACCGGAAGAAGAAGAGACAGAAAAAGGGATAGAAAGTGTCTGAAGAAATAATTGCTGAAAACATCCCCAAGCTGGGGAAGGAAATAGTCTCTGAGAACATGTAAACCCACAGATCTCCCAATACAAGGGACTCAAGGAGGACAACACCAAGACATATAATAATTAAAATGGCAAAGATCAATGACAAGGATGGGGTATTAAAAGTAGCCAGAGAGAGAAAAAAGGTCACCTACAAAGGAAAACCCATCAGGCTATCATCAGACTTTTCACCTTAAATGCCAGAAGAGAATGGCATGATATATTTAATGCAACGAAACAGAAGGGCCTTGAACCAAGAATACTATATCCAGCACGATTATCATTTAAATATGGAGGGATTAAACAATTTCTAGATAAGCAAAAGCTGAGGAAATTTACCTCCCACAAACCACTTCTACAGGGTATTTTAAAGGGACTGCTCTAGATGGAAGTATTCCTAAGGTTAAATAGATGTCACCAGAGAAAATAAAATCACACCAAAGAAAGCAGACCAACCAAATACTGACTAAAGGCAAAAAATAAAATCAGCTACCCACAAAAGCAGTCAAGGAAAGCACAAAAGAGTACAGAATAAAACACCTAATATATAAAGAGTGGAGGAGGAAGAATAAGAAGGGAGAGAAATAATCATCAGATTGTGTTTATAATAGTGGAATAAGTGAGTTAAAGTTAGATGGTTAGATAGTAAAGAAGCTACCCTTGAACATTTGGTAACCATGAATCCAAAGTTTGCAATGGCAATAAGTACATGTCTATCAATAATCACCCTAAATGTAAATGGACTGAATGCACCAATCAAAAGACACACAGTAATATAATGGATAAAAAAGCAAGACCCACATATGCTGCTTACAAGAGACTCACCTCAAACCCAAAGACATACACAGACTCAAAGTGAAGGGATGGAAAAAGATATTTCATGCAAACAATAGGGAGAAAAAAGCAGGTGTAGCAGTACTTGTGTCAGACAAAATAGAACTCATAGCAAAGGAAGTAACAAGAGGTAAAGAAGGACATTACATAATGATAAAGGGGTCAGTCCAACAAGAGGATATAACCATTATAAATATCTATGCACCCAACACAGGAGCACCGACATGTGCGAAACAAATACTAACAGAATTAAAGGAGGAAAAAGAATGCAATGCATTCATTTTAGGGGACTTCAACACACCACTCACTCCAAAGGACAGATCCAACACACAGAAAATACGTAAGGACACAGAGGCACTGAACAACACACTAGAACAGATGGACCTAACAGACAGAACTCTATGCCCAGAAGCAGCAGGATACATATTCTTCTCAAGTTTACATGGAACATTTTCCAGCATAGACCACAAACTAGGCCACAAAAAGAGCCTCAGTAAATTTAAAAAGATTGAAATTCTACCAACCAACTTGTCAGACCACAAAGGTATAAAACTAGAAATAAATTGCACAAAGAAAACAAAAAGGCTCACAAACACATGGAGGCTTAACAACATGCTCCTAAATAATCAGTGGCTCAATAACCAAATTAAAACAGAGATCGAGCAATATACGGAGACAAATGACAAGAACAGCACAATGGACCCACTTTTGTGGGATAGAGCGAAGGCAGTTCTAAGATGAAAGTATATAGCAATCCAGGCCTATTTAAAGAAGGAAGAACAATCCCAAATGAATAGTCTAAAGTCACAATTATTGAAACTGGAAAAAGAAGAACAAATGAGGCCAAAAGTCAGCAAGAGGGACATAATAAAGATCAGAGAAGAAATAAATAAAATTGAGAAGAATAAAACAATAGAAAAAAATCAATGAAACTAAGAGCTGGTTCTTTTGAGAAAATAAACAAAACAGATAAACCCCTAGCCAGACTTATTAAGAGAAAAAGAGAATCTACACACATCAACAGAATCAGAAATGAGAAAGGAAAAATCATGATGGACACCACAGAAATACAAAGAATTATTAGAGAATATTATGAAAATCTATATGCTAACAAACTGGATAACCTAGAAGAAATGGACAACTTTCTAGAAAAATACAACCTTCCAAGACTGACCAAGAAAGAAACATAAAATCTAAACAGACCTATTACCAGCAATGGAATTGAATCGGTAATCAAAAAACTACCTAAGAGGGACTCTCTTGTCCCCTCCTGGGGTGAGCCAGGAGCTCTGTCCTTTCACTTAATCTCTAAATAAAAGCCTGTACCTTGCTCTCCTAAAAAAAAAAATTAATAAAATAATAAAAAAAAAAACTACCCAAGAACAAAACTTCCGGGCCAGATGAACTCACTGCTGAATTTTACCAGACATTTAGAGAAGACACAATACCCATTCTCCTTAAAGTTTTCCAAAAGAAAGAAGAAAAGGGAATACTTCCAAACTCATTCTATGAAGCCATTATCACTCTAATACCAAAACCAGGCAAAGACCCCACTAAAAAAGAAAATTACAGACCAATATCCCTGATGAACATAGATGCAGAAATACTTAACAAAATATTAGCAAACCGAATTCAAAAATACATCAAGAGGATCATACACCATGATCATGTGGGATTCATCTCAGGGATGCAAGGATGGTACAACATCCAAAAATCCATCATCATCATCATCATCCACCACACTAACAAAAAGAACAGAAACCACATGATCATCTCCATAGATGCTGAAAAAAGCATTTGACAAAATTCAACATCCATTCATGATAAAAACTCTCAACAAAGTGGGTATAGAGGGCAAGTACCTCAAAATAATAAAGGTCATATATGACAAACCCACAGCCAACATCATACTGAACAGCGAGAAGCTGAAAGCTTTTCACCTAAGATGGGGCACAAGACAAGGATGCCCACTCTCCACAGTGTTGTTATTCAACATAGTACTGGAGGTCCTAGCCACAGCAATCAGACAAAACAAAGAAATAAAGGGCATCAAGATTGGTAAGGAAGAAGTCAAACCATCACTATTTGCAGATGACATGATATTGTACATAAAAAACCCTTGAGACTCCTAGAATATCTGAATTTAGCAAAGTTGCAGGATACAAAGTTAATACACAGAAATCTGTTGCTTTCCTGCACACTAATGATGAATTAGCAGAAAGAGAAATCAGGAAAACAATTCCATTTACAATTGCATCAAAAAGAATAAAATACTTAGGAATAAACCTAACCAAAGAGGTGAAAGACCTATACCCTGAAAACTACAAGATACTCTTCAGAGAAATTAAAGAGGACACTGTAAATGGGGTATGTGGTGGGGTCTTGATAATGGGGGGAGTCTAGTAACCATAATGTTAGTCATGTAATTGTACATTAATGATACCAAAGATAAAAAAAACAACAACCAGTGTTTCTGTGGAAAGTCAGCCTTGATAAGAGCCTGGCTGGTGAGTCATGGAATTGTTTCAAAAAGTTGAGACACCATAGCATTGGTGAATTCACTGAATATTGAATGAATTCATGGATGCTAACTATTTGTACTGAGTATCTCAACACTGTGTATATCATATGATGTAATATTTTATGTAATCCCAACTTTTGAGAGGTCCCTACAACCCTCTAGAACTTGCTCCACACCCAAAAAAATGAAGGACTCATGTCCTTCACACCTAATGTTCTAACTCAGTCTTGGTAATTCTTAGTTTAAGAAGTTTTCTGGTAGTTGAGGGGAAAGTATAAGGTCATCTAGGTTTTCATTTCCTAAACAAGAAACAAATGATTTATTTATCTATGATGTTGAGTTTGCTCAGTATGTCATTCATTCCAAGTTCATTTATTAGATCTTCAGTGTCCCCTATCAAATCAGTAAATCTGTCGCTTCCTTTCTATCAACACCACTCCAGTTGAGGCCCTTAGTACTCAGTACTCCCAGCTGGCTTGTTCTAAGAACACCACACTTGATCTGTGTGCTCCCTCAGGGCAGGGAGTACACTTCATTTCTGGAGCCTGGAATAATGCTCAGCACATAGGAAGTGCTCGATAAAAAGCTGAGCATTTTCCTCCCTCAGAGCACTGCTCTCTCTATTCTCTTACATACACCTCTGATGAAGGGCATCTCCCTACAGTAGCCAGAATCTCATTTCAAGAACCTGCCTTTGCTCAAGAATCTTTTTCCCAAAGTGTGTTCTGAACACGTGACCCCTCAGGATGCCTGAGGCAGGGGTACTGGGGTCACATAAGTACAGGATATACTACACACTCTCTCTCCCAGAGGTGTATACCACCAACAGCTTCTGAGAAGTCCTGCATCAAGGAAACCTATTTTGACAGACTTTAATCCAATGTTCTCTAAATGAAACTGACCACAAAAGCCCTTTTCTCACAAAATCAACTTGCATCCTATAGAACTAGCACCTTGTGTAACACTTTGGGGAAACACTGGCTTCCAGGAAAAAATCTAAATGGCTTAATAGATTCTTATTTTGTGAGTAAACACTATGAATCTGTGCTGAGCATGCAATACAAACTATCCTGTCTAATAGTACCTTTGAGGCAAACAGTATTTTAAAATCTATTTTGCATCTGAGAAAAAGTAAAGCCAGAAGTAGAAATCAGGTTGATCTAACAGCACAGGCCCTGACCTTAGTGACTATGTGCCAGATCCAGGAAGAATGGTTTGGACCCTATCATGAAAGCAGTGGGAACCCTTGAGGATTCTTGAGCAGCAGGGCAAAAAAAAGGGAGAGGCTTGGGAAGGAGTTGGGGGGCTGCACTAGACAGAGGGTCTGTCTACGAGCATTAGCCCAAAACATGGAAGACCCCTGAGAGCAAGGGACACCTGCCCACGACCCTGGCTATAGAGGTACTCACTGGATCACTTGGTAGTAGCGCTGGAGGAAGAGGGACCAGCCCTCAGGGCTGAGGTACAGTGGGGCCTCTAGTTGCTTGTCGATGTCCATGTGGGCCAGGTTGCTAAGGTGCTCCTTACAGGCACACAGAGCCTGATCCACAAACTCTGGGGATACTGCCACTGACTTTTTCTCCTGTTTCTTCGGCTGCTTGTCTCCTGAAGAGGTAAGGGGAGGCCTATTGCTATCTGACATGCAAGGCAGGTAACCTGACACATGCCAGTCTCCCACTGCCCCAAGGCCTGTCATTCACCTGACACCTCACCCTAAATACATCTGAGGCCCAGCACACAGCTGCATTTCCTACTTACTACTCTGGGACCTGTCATTTACCTGAGGCTTTGTTCTAAATTCACCTGGAACCCTAGTGCTCACCCTTGGCTTTCAAGACCTGTCATTCACTTGAGAGTCCACCATAAATGTCCTCAAAGCTTCTTGGCCTTCTTGGCACCTACAACCCCAGCATACAGCTGCAGCCTCTCTCCTCCTGAGACCTCTGATACACCTGAGGTCCTGTGACCCTGATCCTGGCATACAACAGCCTTCTTTGCACTTGACACATCCAGGAGATAGCAGCATGGTGTTCTCCCTCTGAAAGAGGTGGGAATTATCCTCCTTCCATGTAGAGCTTCCCCTAACTTCCCTGACTCCCTGGCTGACAGGCCCCTGAATAACAGGATGGGAGCTTGGAGGGAAAGGGCAAGCGATGGGTTGGGCCAACATGCCGTGAGGGATTCTCTGTGTCCTCAACCACAAGGCACGACGAGTCCTCAGACCATGTGAAACTGCACAGTTCACTGCTTCCTCCTACTCAGAGACCTGAGCTCCCCAAAGGCAGGGATGGATCATGTCTTTTTAGTCTGTCCTCTAGAGTGCCGGGCCACATGCCAGGCCCATGGGAGGGTTTAATAAGGCCATGGATCAACTGACAAATGGATAGGAAGCAGATGGGTGGGTGGTTGAGACAGAAGAAAAGATGAGTAGATGGACTGGAAAATAGGTGATGGCTGGGAGGATGGAAAAGTAGGTGGGCAGATGGGTAGACAGATCTTTGGAAGAACAGGTAGGAAAGTAAGAGGAGTAGAAAAGAAAAACAATATGGAGCATAGAGCTGAGAGAAGCTAGGTAAACGAGCAGATCATCAGTAGGGGGAAGGTGGAGGAGAGATGAATGAACGGATGATGGGTAGGTGAATGTAAGGTCACTGGGTGGGTGGGTTAATAGATAGGCAGATGGATGCATGGACATGTGGGCAGATGCATGTATTGATGGGTTGGTGGAAGGGGTGGTGGATGGGCAGCTGGATCTGGCTACGACATACATTTGTGGATGAATAGACGGATGGATGGGTGGGAAGATACATGAGTTGGGGAGTGGAGGTAAGCACAGTTCTTACCTGGGATCTCTTCCTCTTCTGCCTGGATAGAGTATGACTTCCATTCAGACTTTACCACCAGCTTGAGAACGTTGCGGGCAGCTGTCAGCCAGAAGTCCTCTACTCGCAGGCAGGGGATACCCTGCTCAGTCCCTAGGCTCCTGACCTTTTTCTGGTTCCAGAACCTGATTATGACCTGCCCCATTCTGGACCCAGAACCTGACTACCTTCTGACTCTAGAACCTGGCTCCTGTTTCAACTGCATTACCAGACCCAGAATCTGGCCTGATTTAGCTCATATTCTGCCTTCAGAATCTCACATGGACCTGTTGTCTGTTTTCTCTCTTCTGTCCCTGATCTACTTTTGATACTTACTCTACCCTGAGAACAAGACCATGGCCCAAAACCTATTTCAGATTTGGAGACTAATTTAAACCTAGCATCTAATCTGGACCCAAATTCTGATCTGAATTAGAACATGTTCTGTAACTGGAAACTATTCTGTTTCAGAAGCCCAAAGTCTGGAGCCTTTTCTAGATTGGAAACTGACCTAGCCAGGAATTTGACACAGGCCTGGAACCAATCGGATTACAAATTCAACCCAGAATGTAACCTAAGCCACCTCAGCTTTCTTGAATGTCTGGGTTGACCAAGCTAGGAAGGTCATTAAAGGAGGCACATTAGGGAAGGATAAGGCCTGCTGATGGAGGACGAAACCTGCTGGGGTAGACAAGGGCATGAGGAGAGAGGTCCCTGCCCCTCCATGAGCCAGGGCTTTAGCCCTCATCCTTCAGCCTGAGGGGTCCAGGCATGGGGCTGGGCATCTCCTTACCTATGAAGGCCTTCTTGTCATCCTCAGCCCCCAGGCGGTAGCAGCGCGGGAAGAACGAGTCAGCATCAGCCTCATCAAACCACGGCAAATTCCGGAGATTGAGACACAGACCCACCTATGGAGTTAGCCACTGAGGGGGAAGGCAGGGACTTGCCCTCCAAGGGATTCCCCGTACTCAGCTGTGCCCAGACAGCTCAGGGAGACTGCTTGTCTATTCTAAGAGCCTCTGCCCCATCTCTAGGCCTGACTCACTCATATCTATCTCCGTATGTTTATCCTTGGGGTTCCCTCTAACGAGAATGCCTCACATCCCTTCTGTTAACCCTTTCGCATTCTTAACTGCTGGCTTCTCTAGGAATCATTCCCAGCACATGCCAGTAATATATGGACAGGTCCCAATTATAAAGCTCTTCATTCTTGTTATAACCCTAGAAGATAGGTCTTCCTGGTATTCTTATTTAAAGATGGGGAAACAGGCTCAGAGAGGCGAAGTCACTTGTTAATGAACCCTTATCAGATCTCATCGGCCAGATCTCCTCTGCTTAGGAGGCAAGGGACCTCTTGCTCACAGTCATTGGACTTGGTGTTCATTCTGGCTTCAGGTCCCATCTGGATGCTGGAGTCTATTTTAGTCTTTATGTCTACATGTGGTGGACATGCTATAGGGCTCCGATTTGAACCAAAGCCTCTCTGACTCTAAACCCACTGAAATACATACCTTCCCCCATGTGAGAACTCTCTCTTACTGACAAGGAGCAGGGTTGCCAGCCCAAGGGCTGGGGGGCTTACAAGCTGTCATGCCCACCTGCCTGGGGGGCCCACCTTTGTGGTAAAGGAGCCTGCCCGGGCATAGTGGTTTATCATCTGATCCTTGGAAAGGAAACGACAGTCCAGCACATCCCGCCGAGTGGTCCAGATGAAGTAGGGGATCGCATGCCGAACCATGCGGGACTAGGGAAAGGGAAGAGACAGGGAGGCTGGGGTGGCAGCATAAGACCTGAGGAAGCTTCTCTCTGCCCTGCTGAGTAGTGGGGGTGAATGGAAGGCAGATGCTTCCAAGATGGCCTTTAGCCCACATACCATCTTTGTGTAAGGTAAGTAAAGACAGCTTTTCCCCAGGGCACACACTTGTTAAGCACAGAGCAGGCAGGCTTGCAGCCTTCTTTGGTCAAGGTGCCCTAGGCAGTGACTCAGCCACAATACTGAATGCCCCACCTTGTTCTGGCACATGGCCATCAGTGACCTGCTCTGTGGCAGAATAGAGACTCCAAGCGATGGGCACAAAGTGTGTGACAAAGGCTCTCTCCCGGGCTCTATCTTTCTCCATCTGTTCTATAACTCTGGGAGATAGGATTATTAATAGGCAGTAACAATGAGCCAGGGCCTGTTCCAAGTACTTTCCATGCCAGTTCCTTTAATCCTCGCCACACCCCTGTGAGGTAGGTGCTAGTGTTATCCCCATTTCACAGATGAAGGAACAGGGGCAGAGGGAGGCTCACAACTGCCATATGAAACTGTCAGGACACAATCTTTCCTGACTTGCAAATATGGTGATTTGATACAGTTCAACTTAGAAAGCAGTGGTACCCAGAAGACAAATGTTGTCACTTCAACATACACATCCTCCACACCATCACATCAGGCTCTTTCAAAGCTTTTTAAACCCCTACTTCCAGCCTTCACTTGCCAAGGGCAGAGGGAGGAGATGGAACTATGGGGTTTTTATTTGGAAGGGAATTAGTAGACATGGAGGTTGTGCTGGCTTCAACCCGGCAGAGTTTGCCTGGCCCCACTGTGCTGGCTTCAATCAGCCTTGCCTGGTCCCACTGTGTCCCTCACCACTCTACTGGTTCATCCAGGCTTTGGAGAAGCAATCAGTTCTTACTAGAGATGGGGAAACTAAGGCCCAGAGGAGGAAAGAACTAGTCTGAGGTCACTCCACTGGACTTGAGTGCTCTCCTTCCAACTAAGAAGGCCCCTCCCAGCCCCCTAGGCCCTTACCATCAGAGCATGTGTCCCATCTAGGTCAACATCAAAGTTGAACAGCTGTGGTGGCTGGAATGCCTCATCCTCATCTTCATCCTCTGTGGATGCAGCGCCCAGGCCTGGTGAGGCCTTTGTCCCTGCCCCACAGGCCCATACCAAAATCTCAATCCTGGGACAATGGGAACCAACGGAAAGGGACTCAGGAGGGGCAGCTTGTGGGCAGGAAGGGAACTGCTCACCATCCTCTGTGGTGTCACTATCACCCATTACGGAGCTAACCAAAGCCCTCTGCGGTGATGGCAGGGTGATGCCTGGATGGTGGACCATCTTCTTCTCCACCCAGCCCCTCTGGCGCAGGAGGTACCGGATCACTGGGTAGCGGCCTTGAATCATAAAGATTTTCTTCTGCTGTAAAATAAGAAAAGGATTCTTGTTTAGTTAAATATTGTGTAAGTGCCAGACACAGCAGATATAATGCTGAACTAGACACTTACTGTCTCTGTCTTAAGAATTTTTTAAATTCCAGTAAGGGAGACAGATTATAAACAAGCCGGGAAATAAATATGCATAGTAATAATTATAATGGTGATAGCTAATAATTTTTTAGCATCTACTCTGTGTGAAGCACTTATATAGATTACTAACAATAGATTATTTTAATAGATGCTATTATCTCCATTTACTAGTCATAAAACAAGCATAGAGAGGTAGTGTGGCCACACAGTGGTTAAGTGTAAGAGCTGGAACTTAAGTCCAGGCTGGCTGGCTCCAAAAACTGGCTACTCAGTGGGGAACCCTGAGAGACTAGAAATACATACAAAGTCAAGATAAGTCGAGAAGCAGCCATGAATGTACAGAGCTGGGCAAATGGCACTTCAGGTGGAGGGAAAAGCATGTGCAAAGGCCATAAGGCTGGACAGAGGTTAGAAGGAACTGGAAAGAAGCCAGTGTGAGTGGAGTGTGGAAAATGAGAGAGGAGGTAGTGGCTAGACTGTGGAAGGTCCTGAAGGCCTTGGAAGAGACTTGGATTTTATATTAAGAGTAGCATGAAGCAATAAAGGCAAGCTGAGGAAGTTGCATGATTGAAGCTTTGTAAGTTTGGCCTTCTGCTCTATGGAGAACAGACTGAAGAGACAGGATGCAAGCAGGGAGACCAGTTAGAGGGCTACTGTGGTCTGTGCAGAAAAGTAATTACAACACCTAGAATGAGGGTAGTTACAGTGGAGATGGGGATTAAGAGATAGAATTGAGACTTGTTTTGGACATAGAGATGACTGTTTTTGCTAATGGGATTAGATGTATGGGTGAAGGAACAGAAAGATCAGGTTTCTGGCTTGAGCAGGAGATGTGGAAGACCAGAATAAGGACGACAGGTTTAGGCAGGATAATCAAAAAAGTATGGTTTGGTACATGGGTTTGCAATGTTTTAAGTTCTCTGGGTGGAGAGGTGGATAGGGGGGTTGGATCTACGGAGTATGGAGGCAGAGGATAGGGTTGGCTGGAAACGGCACGGAGGATGGCACAGCACAGCGACTGGATTCACAGCCAAAGAGAAAGGTGTAGACAGCAACCCGGTGAACCACGGGAGTCCTGAGGAGACTTCTAAGGCAACTGAAAAGCAGCAGCCAGAAAACTAGGAATGTGCAGCCAAGAGGGAAGGGTGTGTGGGCAGACAGTGTAGAATGTATGAATCCAGACTGGGACAGAAAAGGGGCTGCTGGATTTGGCTCCTTGGAGGTCAGTAGTAACTTTGACTAGAGTGATTGCTAATAGGAGTAGGGAAGAGCCTGGAACCAAAACGGTGGGAGTTGAGGAGTAAATCGAAGGTAAAGTGGTAGACAATTCTAACAAGAAGCTTGGCTGTGAAGGAGTACTGAAAAATGGGGAGCTATCTGAAGATGTGTGTGCGATCAAGGTTTTTGTTTTTTGTTGCCTTTTGAGGACGAAAGAAAAGAATTCAGAGACGTAGGATGAGTCACCCTCAGGGTCCTTTCTAGGCTCCCAACCCCTCCAACCTTGACGGCTCTCTCCACGTGGATCTTGGCGTTTCTGAGCTGGCCCATCCGGTGAGACGCCTTGGAGAATCCTCTCCAGAGGACACGGGAACCTGCAGAAAGATGTGGAACGGGGTGCGGGGAGGGGCCTCAGATTGGCGTCTCTCCCGGGCCCCAGTGCCCACATTTCTTTCTCCACCCTTCATCCGGATGCCCTCCAACTCTTCTCCCGACCCCCATTCCCTCCACCCCAAGCCTCTTCCGTCCCGCCGTCCGGTCAGCTGCACCAGGAAAGGAGGGGCCGCAGTGGGCNAATACGAAGAATTATTAGAGAATATTATGAAAATCTATATGCTAACAAACTGGATAACCTAGAAGAAATGGACAACTTTCTAGAAAAATACAACCTTCCAAGACTGACCAAGAAAGAAACATAAAATCTAAACAGACCTATTACCAGCAATGAAATTGAATCGGTAATCAAAAAACTACCTAAGAGGGACTCTCTTGTCCCCTCCTGGGGTGAGCCAGGAGCTCTGTCCTTTCACTTAATCTCTAAATAAAAGCCTGTACCTTGCTCTCCTAAAAAAAAAAATTAATAAAATAATAAAAAAAAAAACTACCCAAGAACAAAACTTCCGGGCCAGATGAACTCACTGCTGAATTTTACCAGACATTTAGAGAAGACACAATACCCATTCTCCTTAAAGTTTTCCAAAAGAAAGAAGAAAAGGGAATACTTCCAAACTCATTCTATGAAGCCATTATCACTCTAATACCAAAACCAGGCAAAGACCCCACTAAAAAAGAAAATTACAGACCAATATCCCTGATGAACATAGATGCAGAAATACTTAACAAAATATTAGCAAACCGAATTCAAAAATACATCAAGAGGATCATACACCATGATCATGTGGGATTCATCTCAGGGATGCAAGGATGGTACAACATCCAAAAATCCATCATCATCATCATCATCCACCACACTAACAAAAAGAACAGAAACCACATGATCATCTCCATAGATGCTGAAAAAAGCATTTGACAAAATTCAACATCCATTCATGATAAAAACTCTCAACAAAGTGGGTATAGAGGGCAAGTACCTCAAAATAATAAAGGTCATATATGACAAACCCACAGCCAACATCATACTGAACAGCGAGAAGCTGAAAGCTTTTCACCTAAGATGGGGCACAAGACAAGGATGCCCACTCTCCACAGTGTTGTTATTCAACATAGTACTGGAGGTCCTAGCCACAGCAATCAGACAAAACAAAGAAATAAAGGGCATCAAGATTGGTAAGGAAGAAGTCAAACCATCACTATTTGCAGATGACATGATATTGTACATAAAAAACCCTTGAGACTCCTAGAATATCTGAATTTAGCAAAGTTGCAGGATACAAAGTTAATACACAGAAATCTGTTGCTTTCCTGCACACTAATGATGAATTAGCAGAAAGAGAAATCAGGAAAACAATTCCATTTACAATTGCATCAAAAAGAATAAAATACTTAGGAATAAACCTAACCAAAGAGGTGAAAGACCTATACCCTGAAAACTACAAGATACTCTTCAGAGAAATTAAAGAGGACACTGTAAATGGGGTATGTGGTGGGGTCTTGATAATGGGGGGAGTCTAGTAACCATAATGTTAGTCATGTAATTGTACATTAATGATACCAAAGATAAAAAAAACAACAACCAGTGTTTCTGTGGAAAGTCAGCCTTGATAAGAGCCTGGCTGGTGAGTCATGGAATTGTTTCAAAAAGTTGAGACACCATAGCATTGGTGAATTCACTGAATATTGAATGAATTCATGGATGCTAACTATTTGTACTGAGTATCTCAACACTGTGTATATCATATGATGTAATATTTTATGTAATCCCAACTTTTGAGAGGTCCCTACAACCCTCTAGAACTTGCTCCACACCCAAAAAAATGAAGGACTCATGTCCTTCACACCTAATGTTCTAACTCAGTCTTGGTAATTCTTAGTTTAAGAAGTTTTCTGGTAGTTGAGGGGAAAGTATAAGGTCATCTAGGTTTTCATTTCCTAAACAAGAAACAAATGATTTATTTATCTATGATGTTGAGTTTGCTCAGTATGTCATTCATTCCAAGTTCATTTATTAGATCTTCAGTGTCCCCTATCAAATCAGTAAATCTGTCGCTTCCTTTCTATCAACACCACTCCAGTTGAGGCCCTTAGTACTCAGTACTCCCAGCTGGCTTGTTCTAAGAACACCACACTTGATCTGTGTGCTCCCTCAGGGCAGGGAGTACACTTCATTTCTGGAGCCTGGAATAATGCTCAGCACATAGGAAGTGCTCGATAAAAAGCTGAGCATTTTCCTCCCTCAGAGCACTGCTCTCTCTATTCTCTTACATACACCTCTGATGAAGGGCATCTCCCTACAGTAGCCAGAATCTCATTTCAAGAACCTGCCTTTGCTCAAGAATCTTTTTCCCAAAGTGTGTTCTGAACACGTGACCCCTCAGGATGCCTGAGGCAGGGGTACTGGGGTCACATAAGTACAGGATATACTACACACTCTCTCTCCCAGAGGTGTATACCACCAACAGCTTCTGAGAAGTCCTGCATCAAGGAAACCTATTTTGACAGACTTTAATCCAATGTTCTCTAAATGAAACTGACCACAAAAGCCCTTTTCTCACAAAATCAACTTGCATCCTATAGAACTAGCACCTTGTGTAACACTTTGGGGAAACACTGGCTTCCAGGAAAAAATCTAAATGGCTTAATAGATTCTTATTTTGTGAGTAAACACTATGAATCTGTGCTGAGCATGCAATACAAACTATCCTGTCTAATAGTACCTTTGAGGCAAACAGTATTTTAAAATCTATTTTGCATCTGAGAAAAAGTAAAGCCAGAAGTAGAAATCAGGTTGATCTAACAGCACAGGCCCTGACCTTAGTGACTATGTGCCAGATCCAGGAAGAATGGTTTGGACCCTATCATGAAAGCAGTGGGAACCCTTGAGGATTCTTGAGCAGCAGGGCAAAAAAAAGGGAGAGGCTTGGGAAGGAGTTGGGGGGCTGCACTAGACAGAGGGTCTGTCTACGAGCATTAGCCCAAAACATGGAAGACCCCTGAGAGCAAGGGACACCTGCCCACGACCCTGGCTATAGAGGTACTCACTGGATCACTTGGTAGTAGCGCTGGAGGAAGAGGGACCAGCCCTCAGGGCTGAGGTACAGTGGGGCCTCTAGTTGCTTGTCGATGTCCATGTGGGCCAGGTTGCTAAGGTGCTCCTTACAGGCACACAGAGCCTGATCCACAAACTCTGGGGATACTGCCACTGACTTTTTCTCCTGTTTCTTCGGCTGCTTGTCTCCTGAAGAGGTAAGGGGAGGCCTATTGCTATCTGACATGCAAGGCAGGTAACCTGACACATGCCAGTCTCCCACTGCCCCAAGGCCTGTCATTCACCTGACACCTCAACCTAAATACATCTGAGGCCCAGCACACAGCTGCATTTCCTACTTACTACTCTGGGACCTGTCATTTACCTGAGGCTTTGTTCTAAATTCACCTGGAACCCTAGTGCTCACCCTTGGCTTTCAAGACCTGTCATTCACTTGAGAGTCCACCATAAATGTCCTCAAAGCTTCTTGGCCTTCTTGGCACCTACAACCCCAGCATACAGCTGCAGCCTCTCTCCTCCTGAGACCTCTGATACACCTGAGGTCCTGTGACCCTGATCCTGGCATACAACAGCCTTCTTTGCACTTGACACATCCAGGAGATAGCAGCATGGTGTTCTCCCTCTGAAAGAGGTGGGAATTATCCTCCTTCCATGTAGAGCTTCCCCTAACTTCCCTGACTCCCTGGCTGACAGGCCCCTGAATAACAGGATGGGAGCTTGGAGGGAAAGGGCAAGCGATGGGTTGGGCCAACATGCCGTGAGGGATTCTCTGTGTCCTCAACCACAAGGCACGACGAGTCCTCAGACCATGTGAAACTGCACAGTTCACTGCTTCCTCCTACTCAGAGACCTGAGCTCCCCAAAGGCAGGGATGGATCATGTCTTTTTAGTCTGTCCTCTAGAGTGCCGGGCCACATGCCAGGCCCATGGGAGGGTTTAATAAGGCCATGGATCAACTGACAAATGGATAGGAAGCAGATGGGTGGGTGGTTGAGACAGAAGAAAAGATGAGTAGATGGACTGGAAAATAGGTGATGGCTGGGAGGATGGAAAAGTAGGTGGGCAGATGGGTAGACAGATCTTTGGAAGAACAGGTAGGAAAGTAAGAGGAGTAGAAAAGAAAAACAATATGGAGCATAGAGCTGAGAGAAGCTAGGTAAACGAGCAGATCATCAGTAGGGGGAAGGTGGAGGAGAGATGAATGAACGGATGATGGGTAGGTGAATGTAAGGTCACTGGGTGGGTGGGTTAATAGATAGGCAGATGGATGCATGGACATGTGGGCAGATGCATGTATTGATGGGTTGGTGGAAGGGGTGGTGGATGGGCAGCTGGATCTGGCTACGACATACATTTGTGGATGAATAGACGGATGGATGGGTGGGAAGATACATGAGTTGGGGAGTGGAGGTAAGCACAGTTCTTACCTGGGATCTCTTCCTCTTCTGCCTGGATAGAGTATGACTTCCATTCAGACTTTACCACCAGCTTGAGAACGTTGCGGGCAGCTGTCAGCCAGAAGTCCTCTACTCGCAGGCAGGGGATACCCTGCTCAGTCCCTAGGCTCCTGACCTTTTTCTGGTTCCAGAACCTGATTATGACCTGCCCCATTCTGGACCCAGAACCTGACTACCTTCTGACTCTAGAACCTGGCTCCTGTTTCAACTGCATTACCAGACCCAGAATCTGGCCTGATTTAGCTCATATTCTGCCTTCAGAATCTCACATGGACCTGTTGTCTGTTTTCTCTCTTCTGTCCCTGATCTACTTTTGATACTTACTCTACCCTGAGAACAAGACCATGGCCCAAAACCTATTTCAGATTTGGAGACTAATTTAAACCTAGCATCTAATCTGGACCCAAATTCTGATCTGAATTAGAACATGTTCTGTAACTGGAAACTATTCTGTTTCAGAAGCCCAAAGTCTGGAGCCTTTTCTAGATTGGAAACTGACCTAGCCAGGAATTTGACACAGGCCTGGAACCAATCGGATTACAAATTCAACCCAGAATGTAACCTAAGCCACCTCAGCTTTCTTGAATGTCTGGGTTGACCAAGCTAGGAAGGTCATTAAAGGAGGCACATTAGGGAAGGATAAGGCCTGCTGATGGAGGACGAAACCTGCTGGGGTAGACAAGGGCATGAGGAGAGAGGTCCCTGCCCCTCCATGAGCCAGGGCTTTAGCCCTCATCCTTCAGCCTGAGGGGTCCAGGCATGGGGCTGGGCATCTCCTTACCTATGAAGGCCTTCTTGTCATCCTCAGCCCCCAGGCGGTAGCAGCGCGGGAAGAACGAGTCAGCATCAGCCTCATCAAACCACGGCAAATTCCGGAGATTGAGACACAGACCCACCTATGGAGTTAGCCACTGAGGGGGAAGGCAGGGACTTGCCCTCCAAGGGATTCCCCGTACTCAGCTGTGCCCAGACAGCTCAGGGAGACTGCTTGTCTATTCTAAGAGCCTCTGCCCCATCTCTAGGCCTGACTCACTCATATCTATCTCCGTATGTTTATCCTTGGGGTTCCCTCTAACGAGAATGCCTCACATCCCTTCTGTTAACCCTTTCGCATTCTTAACTGCTGGCTTCTCTAGGAATCATTCCCAGCACATGCCAGTAATATATGGACAGGTCCCAATTATAAAGCTCTTCATTCTTGTTATAACCCTAGAAGATAGGTCTTCCTGGTATTCTTATTTAAAGATGGGGAAACAGGCTCAGAGAGGCGAAGTCACTTGTTAATGAACCCTTATCAGATCTCATCGGCCAGATCTCCTCTGCTTAGGAGGCAAGGGACCTCTTGCTCACAGTCATTGGACTTGGTGTTCATTCTGGCTTCAGGTCCCATCTGGATGCTGGAGTCTATTTTAGTCTTTATGTCTACATGTGGTGGACATGCTATAGGGCTCCGATTTGAACCAAAGCCTCTCTGACTCTAAACCCACTGAAATACATACCTTCCCCCATGTGAGAACTCTCTCTTACTGACAAGGAGCAGGGTTGCCAGCCCAAGGGCTGGGGGGCTTACAAGCTGTCATGCCCACCTGCCTGGGGGGCCCACCTTTGTGGTAAAGGAGCCTGCCCGGGCATAGTGGTTTATCATCTGATCCTTGGAAAGGAAACGACAGTCCAGCACATCCCGCCGAGTGGTCCAGATGAAGTAGGGGATCGCATGCCGAACCATGCGGGACTAGGGAAAGGGAAGAGACAGGGAGGCTGGGGTGGCAGCATAAGACCTGAGGAAGCTTCTCTCTGCCCTGCTGAGTAGTGGGGGTGAATGGAAGGCAGATGCTTCCAAGATGGCCTTTAGCCCACATACCATCTTTGTGTAAGGTAAGTAAAGACAGCTTTTCCCCAGGGCACACACTTGTTAAGCACAGAGCAGGCAGGCTTGCAGCCTTCTTTGGTCAAGGTGCCCTAGGCAGTGACTCAGCCACAATACTGAATGCCCCACCTTGTTCTGGCACATGGCCATCAGTGACCTGCTCTGTGGCAGAATAGAGACTCCAAGCGATGGGCACAAAGTGTGTGACAAAGGCTCTCTCCCGGGCTCTATCTTTCTCCATCTGTTCTATAACTCTGGGAGATAGGATTATTAATAGGCAGTAACAATGAGCCAGGGCCTGTTCCAAGTACTTTCCATGCCAGTTCCTTTAATCCTCGCCACACCCCTGTGAGGTAGGTGCTAGTGTTATCCCCATTTCACAGATGAAGGAACAGGGGCAGAGGGAGGCTCACAACTGCCATATGAAACTGTCAGGACACAATCTTTCCTGACTTGCAAATATGGTGATTTGATACAGTTCAACTTAGAAAGCAGTGGTACCCAGAAGACAAATGTTGTCACTTCAACATACACATCCTCCACACCATCACATCAGGCTCTTTCAAAGCTTTTTAAACCCCTACTTCCAGCCTTCACTTGCCAAGGGCAGAGGGAGGAGATGGAACTATGGGGTTTTTATTTGGAAGGGAATTAGTAGACATGGAGGTTGTGCTGGCTTCAACCCGGCAGAGTTTGCCTGGCCCCACTGTGCTGGCTTCAATCAGCCTTGCCTGGTCCCACTGTGTCCCTCACCACTCTACTGGTTCATCCAGGCTTTGGAGAAGCAATCAGTTCTTACTAGAGATGGGGAAACTAAGGCCCAGAGGAGGAAAGAACTAGTCTGAGGTCACTCCACTGGACTTGAGTGCTCTCCTTCCAACTAAGAAGGCCCCTCCCAGCCCCCTAGGCCCTTACCATCAGAGCATGTGTCCCATCTAGGTCAACATCAAAGTTGAACAGCTGTGGTGGCTGGAATGCCTCATCCTCATCTTCATCCTCTGTGGATGCAGCGCCCAGGCCTGGTGAGGCCTTTGTCCCTGCCCCACAGGCCCATACCAAAATCTCAATCCTGGGACAATGGGAACCAACGGAAAGGGACTCAGGAGGGGCAGCTTGTGGGCAGGAAGGGAACTGCTCACCATCCTCTGTGGTGTCACTATCACCCATTACGGAGCTAACCAAAGCCCTCTGCGGTGATGGCAGGGTGATGCCTGGATGGTGGACCATCTTCTTCTCCACCCAGCCCCTCTGGCGCAGGAGGTACCGGATCACTGGGTAGCGGCCTTGAATCATAAAGATTTTCTTCTGCTGTAAAATAAGAAAAGGATTCTTGTTTAGTTAAATATTGTGTAAGTGCCAGACACAGCAGATATAATGCTGAACTAGACACTTACTGTCTCTGTCTTAAGAATTTTTTAAATTCCAGTAAGGGAGACAGATTATAAACAAGCCGGGAAATAAATATGCATAGTAATAATTATAATGGTGATAGCTAATAATTTTTTAGCATCTACTCTGTGTGAAGCACTTATATAGATTACTAACAATAGATTATTTTAATAGATGCTATTATCTCCATTTACTAGTCATAAAACAAGCATAGAGAGGTAGTGTGGCCACACAGTGGTTAAGTGTAAGAGCTGGAACTTAAGTCCAGGCTGGCTGGCTCCAAAAACTGGCTACTCAGTGGGGAACCCTGAGAGACTAGAAATACATACAAAGTCAAGATAAGTCGAGAAGCAGCCATGAATGTACAGAGCTGGGCAAATGGCACTTCAGGTGGAGGGAAAAGCATGTGCAAAGGCCATAAGGCTGGACAGAGGTTAGAAGGAACTGGAAAGAAGCCAGTGTGAGTGGAGTGTGGAAAATGAGAGAGGAGGTAGTGGCTAGACTGTGGAAGGTCCTGAAGGCCTTGGAAGAGACTTGGATTTTATATTAAGAGTAGCATGAAGCAATAAAGGCAAGCTGAGGAAGTTGCATGATTGAAGCTTTGTAAGTTTGGCCTTCTGCTCTATGGAGAACAGACTGAAGAGACAGGATGCAAGCAGGGAGACCAGTTAGAGGGCTACTGTGGTCTGTGCAGAAAAGTAATTACAACACCTAGAATGAGGGTAGTTACAGTGGAGATGGGGATTAAGAGATAGAATTGAGACTTGTTTTGGACATAGAGATGACTGTTTTTGCTAATGGGATTAGATGTATGGGTGAAGGAACAGAAAGATCAGGTTTCTGGCTTGAGCAGGAGATGTGGAAGACCAGAATAAGGACGACAGGTTTAGGCAGGATAATCAAAAAAGTATGGTTTGGTACATGGGTTTGCAATGTTTTAAGTTCTCTGGGTGGAGAGGTGGATAGGGGGGTTGGATCTACGGAGTATGGAGGCAGAGGATAGGGTTGGCTGGAAACGGCACGGAGGATGGCACAGCACAGCGACTGGATTCACAGCCAAAGAGAAAGGTGTAGACAGCAACCCGGTGAACCACGGGAGTCCTGAGGAGACTTCTAAGGCAACTGAAAAGCAGCAGCCAGAAAACTAGGAATGTGCAGCCAAGAGGGAAGGGTGTGTGGGCAGACAGTGTAGAATGTATGAATCCAGACTGGGACAGAAAAGGGGCTGCTGGATTTGGCTCCTTGGAGGTCAGTAGTAACTTTGACTAGAGTGATTGCTAATAGGAGTAGGGAAGAGCCTGGAACCAAAACGGTGGGAGTTGAGGAGTAAATCGAAGGTAAAGTGGTAGACAATTCTAACAAGAAGCTTGGCTGTGAAGGAGTACTGAAAAATGGGGAGCTATCTGAAGATGTGTGTGCGATCAAGGTTTTTGTTTTTTGTTGCCTTTTGAGGACGAAAGAAAAGAATTCAGAGACGTAGGATGAGTCACCCTCAGGGTCCTTTCTAGGCTCCCAACCCCTCCAACCTTGACGGCTCTCTCCACGTGGATCTTGGCGTTTCTGAACTGGCCCATCCGGTGAGACGCCTTGGAGAATCCTCTCCAGAGGACACGGGAACCTGCAGAAAGATGTGGAACGGGGTGCGGGGAGGGGCCTCAGATTGGCGTCTCTCCCGGGCCCCAGTGCCCACATTTCTTTCTCCACCCTTCATCCGGATGCCCTCCAACTCTTCTCCCGACCCCCATTCCCTCCACCCCAAGCCTCTTCCGTCCCGCCGTCCGGTCAGCTGCACCAGGAAAGGAGGGGCCGCAGTGGGCCTCACCGTCCTGTGGCGGGGCATCATCCAGGGCCGGGATGTGCGGGGGCCCCAGAGGGTGGGAATCCGCCGCTCTCTGGGCGTGAGTGCAGTGGGTCAGCGACTCGAAGGCGCAGCCTAAGCAGCGCGCAGAGGGAGGGCTGCCGGCCCAGCGTTCGCCGCCTTCGCTAGTTCCCTCCGGCCGGGCGGAGGCGGTCCCGGGCCAGAGTAGCTTCTGGGGAGGTAGGAACTCGGTGTGGCGCGCCCAGGGCCAGGGGGCGGGGGAACCTGTGCGTGGCTCCGGCGGCTGCGGCTCCAGCAGCCAGCTGCACACCAGGACGCTTTCCCGGCGGTACCAGGCGGCGGAGTCCGGGTGGGCGGCTCCCAGCTCCAGCAGCGCCGCGCCCGAGTCCGGCTTCCGCCTCTCGCGGAGCGCGCCCCACTAGCACTCCAGAGCCCGCCTCCCCTCTGCACGCAGCCGCCTCTTGCGGAAGGGGCCTGCCCCAGCCCCAGCCCAGCACTCCGCTCCGAGGCCCCGCCCACCGCTTGCAGTCGCCTTGGAAACCATTTCCCTGCACAATCGGGCCACGAGTGGCGAGTTCGGGGTTGGACCAAGAGGGTGATTCCTTCCGAGTGCCGAATTCCCGATCTCACTTGCCCCACGCTTTTAATGAGTGAAGACACTGAAGGTGGAAGTGCAGAGCATCGGGCTGCCGGTTATCAGCGTCCTGCTTCCTCACTGAGCTCTTCCTGGGGATTGAGTCATTCCACAGTATTTCTAAGGAACCATGTGTAGGTGGCGGCCTAGGTGCTGGGGACAGGTGGAACAAGCTAGACCTGACCTCATGGAGCTTACAGCCCAGTGGGGGAGAAAAAGAGCAAGCAACCAAGGAATAAAACAGCTGTATGTATTTAAGGGCAATGAATTGAAATCAGGAAGGGGGCATACTTTAGTTAGGCAGTCAAGGATTTCCTCTCTAAAGGGGTGACATTTGAGCTGAAGCCTATAGTATGCAAGGAGATCAAGAGCTGGCTAGGGAAGGTGAGGAATAGCATTCCAGGGAGAGGAAAGTCTCAGCAAGTCTTAGGGAGAGGAAAACACTGAGGAGGGTAAGAACGTTTCTGGGGAACTAGAAGGCAGCCAGAGTGGCTGGAGCCTGCTGAAACCAGATCAGCTCTGTAGGGCCCAGCAGATGGAATAGGGCAAAGTCCTTGGGGAGAGATCTGAAAACCAAGGCAGTACATCGAGGAAACAATGAAAGTGCAGAGGCCGGTCCCACACTCCACCCCAGTCCCCAAAACTTGGAAAATAGAAAAACAGATCATCATGTGAATCAATTGCAGAAAGAATAGCTATGCACAGCCCTCAAGACTGCAAGTCACCTTTTCAGAGGTAGTGGCAAAAGTATTATCCTCAGAGGTCACAGGTGTGATAAATATGGCTTCAAAATGTTAAATCATTTGCCTCAAATGACATACCAAAGCCAGCATTGGAACCCAGGTCTGATTCCAAAACCCCTCTTAAACATAAACACTCAAGCATTAAGTCCATGTTATTACTCAGGTGAGGTGACCTATTGGTCATGGAATACCAAATTGGCAGTTTGAGGGGCAACCTCTAGCAGTGCCCATTCAGAATCTAGAGAAGATGGTATCCTGGTCCAAGAACCCAGCTTTGTTAGACACTGTGTAAGATCTACCCGTACACTAAAGGTAGACCCACTTAGCTGTCCAGCCAACCACAACTACAATGTTTCCTAACCCTGCTTAAATGGTGGGTGACTGGGCTTTACAGAAGCTATGTTCGCAGAAGAGGGCAAGCTGATTAGCAGCCAAGCATCCAGTCTGTTCACATCAGTCTGCCAATTTGGCTTTAGGGGCTATGGACCCTGGGAAATGCTTCTGTCAAATGTATTCTGGTCGGCTCACCCAGGCCATGTTGTCCTGTCAAGGTTGAGTGAGCAGCTGCCATCTTCTAGTGGACATCCAGCTTCACGGTGAGCACCTTAATAGTCACTGTGAAGCTAAAATGTAAGTCATGTGCCCTAGAGGACACACCTAATTCTGTAAGGCAGGAGTGGGAGGTCACAGAGGTAATGTCATAAAAGCGATGACGGCTGTCCAAGCTGTGAGTCTCAACCCCTCCTTTAAACATTACCTTGTCCTCTGTTTCGAGACTTCTGGCTATCTGCAAGAAACTTCAAAGTTCTGCTCAAAGGCCAACCCTTCTGAAAGTTTTCTCCTGATACCCCCTTTTATGAGTATATCCTGGGGGGAGAGAGGGGGACTCACAGACTTCCATTCATGAATATGAAACACTTCAGTGCACCTATTTACACACCCAGCTCTTACTAGTTCCCAAATCTCTCCAAGACAGGGATAAAAGGTCATCCCCCATGCCTAGCATGATGGAAATTATCAAACAGCTTGTATATTGGGCTGATGGAAAAATCAGCTGTTCTTATTCAGTGCCTGTATGGCAGGTAGGCACTGTCAGATTGTTTAATCTCACTTTATAGATTTAAGAAACCAACACACAAAATACAAGTTGCTAAAATTCAGGACCAAGAGTCAGGACTCAAACACAAATGTTTTGGTTTTTACTTCAAGGTATCACTAAGGTCTAGTGCCGTCCAACTGAGCTTTCTGCGGTAAGTGAAATGTTCCATATTATGTACTATCTGACATGGTAGGAATCAGTCACCTGTAGGTACTGAGCACTGGAAATGTCTCTCAACTGAGGAAGTGAGTTGTAACTGACTTACTCCATCGCAGTAATTTCAACTTAAATAGGCACATGTGGCCAGTGATTACTGTCTTATTAGCACAGGTACAGGCTGAGGCCTTGGACCTGAAGTCCAAGGTCCCACCCTCTTGCTCACTGGCTACATTTGGGGCAAGCTGCTCCACCTCATGGAACATTTTCCTCAGCAATGAAATGGGGTCTTTATTTCTCTGAGGTTACATTTTAGCCCAAATGAACTCATTATATGCAAAGGACCAAAGCTCTGTATAGGCAGAGAGCAGTTTAAGGAACAGGTGGTGCCCGGACTGTGACAGAGGTCTCTGGGTGGGGGCTCCCAGAGGGATGCCAGGGACCAATCAGGAGACTGCCTGTGTGGGGACAGCTAAGTTGTTTTGGGAAAGAAAAAGCTTCACTTGCCCTCCTTTCACATACACAATAGAGCACAGACCTCATGCAGCCCCAAAGGGGCAAAAAGAGACTTTAATTAGGGGAGGCAGGATCCACCAGAATAAGAAAAGGTACAGCGAGCGTGGGAGCAGAAGAGCCAGAGCAGGCAGGAGGACCCCTGCCCAGGGAGCTCTGGAGGACTCACTTCTCTGCCTCTAGCAGGCACTGCGCTGACAAGACGCAACAGCGGCCCTTTTCAGTGGGGAGGGCACGAGGCAGCCCCGTGGCCAGAAGGTGCCTGGCTTTCAGGACTTGGCTCCTAGGCATGGTGGGTGGCCACCGAGTCAGCCACTGTGTCCAACCAGTGCTGGGTGGCCATCTTCAGGCAGAGCTCAGGAAGCTGGCAGAAGGTCTCACCGCTTCCACAGGCCCAAGGAAGCTTGCAAGGAAGAGGGCAAGGGAGAGGAACCGGAGTCTGAAACCTCCCTCCCACCCAGCTGGGGTGCTCCGGGAAGGAACAGTAGTCGCCTTCTGGCTCCAGGCCTGCCCAGACCCACAGCGACCAATAAGATACAATCACTGGGACCAATCACAGCCAATAAGAGGTGGAGGTTGTTTAAAAAAAAAAAAAGAAAAAAGAAAAAACAGGTTACAGTCCCCTACAAGCATAGGGTTTAAATTTCAAGGCGTTAAAAAAATGTCCCAGCCCAGGGGACTGAACATCAGAAGCCAGCCTGACCAGGCACATGTGGCCTTGGGGCAGGTCCACTGCTGCACTGCTGCTGAGGTAGCAAGGACACTACCCCTCTCCCTCATCTAAGGCCCACCCCACCCCAGCTCCCCTTCGCTGTTGTCGCTGCTGCCACTGCGGCGCTGGCGAGTAACTCCAGGACATCTTTGCAGACACACGGGGGAGTCTGAGGGGGAAGGCCACAAGATCCAGCCACATGGTTTAAAACTGTCAAGAGAACCAAAATGTGGTGAATGATGGTTATTGCTGTATCCTGGCAGGTTCGCTCTGGGGAGGAGGGCTGATCTGAAAGCTGCCACTGTGCTCAGATTTCTGGGTCCCAGCACACCTTGGAGTTACATGCCCTCTAACCAGCCGGCATTCAGCAGTGACCTTTGGGGCACTGGCCTTAAACTCAGCACTAGAAAAGGCAGAGCAATTAAAGGTTGAGTGGGCTTTTCCTCAGCAACCGCTGGCTGTGTCGTGGAGGCTGCCATAAAGCCCTGTCTCAGTGCCTTGCTTGGTGAACTGAAGTTCACTACTTGTGATGGGGGTGTTCATATGCAAGCGCTTGAGGACTCAAGAAAGCCAAGGGCAGAGGGACCCGGAATCTAGTCTGGTACTTTGTGTCAAGCTCTGGGTGGTTCTACAACTAGGACAAGCCCTTGCAATGTCTCCCCTCAAGAATCCCTTATGGTATCTAGATCAACCCTGGACATTTTACAGACCAGTTTGTGGACCAATGGCCCAGAGATTGAACTTAGCTCAAAATGAGCACTGATTGGCCTACACAGTGTTTAAAAGAATATGAATTAGTTGCCAACCTTGAAAAAATGGGAGACACTGCATGCAAATTCAGATATTGGGATTCTTTCGAAAAGCTGGAAGATAAAGCCACAATAGATCCAAAGCTATGTGGTGGTGATACTCTGGCTGAGGCATCTGGTCCCCAGGTCACCAAATAGCCCATTTCGCTGTTTCATTACCTGCCCGAACCTTGTATGCACCTGTGTGTGTGACCCCTGACAGATGCTGTAGTACTTGTAGATCTCTAGTCTGAAATCCTAGCTGCAAGTCCTGTTTCCTCTACTTAGTAGCTGAGGAACTTGGGGCAGATGACTTAACTTCCAGAGCCTTTTGCTCAACTGGAGAATGGGACAACACCTGATTCAAAGACTTGTTTTAGGTAATAGATAAGTGAATGTGCTTTTTTAGCACTTAACTATAGAAATGCAATTACCACAATAAGTAAAGATTGTCAAATGAATAAGCCAAATATTAAACTGGGACAAGAACTATTTTTCTTCAGCTGAACCTAGAGGCCTTTCCAGTGCCCTGGCCATAGAACTCTGGTGCTCAATACACGGAAAGCTTACCATGTACTGGGTGATAGGTTTTATATACATTTCCTCATTTAATGTTCAACCACACTGAAGGTACTTATTAATAGTCACATTTCACAGCTGAGGCTTAGTTGAGAGGTTCATTAACATGCCTGAGTAGGCAGAAGAGCCGGACTCACACACAGGTGGCCTGACTCCAGTCTGTGATTTCAATGAGCATACCACCCCATGTGCACAGTTCAACTACTCTGTAGGCTGGGTGCCC